AATTTCTCTTGGTTGTTTGTAAACTTCACTTTTTTATAGTTCTCTAGTATTTTTTTATTACAAAATATTTTAGAATGTATATACTTGTTTACCAGCACATTAGATACACATGACTGTTCAAAGTATAACAGTTTATTACATTTTGGTCGAGCCTGCGACTTTTGTCGCAAAAGCGAGACGTATAGCGATCCTACATTCCGTCGTCGGCGTCGGCTAGCGACATCCACATACTCACTCTGTGGTTAAAGTTTTTGAAATTTTAATTACTTTCTTAAACTATCCAGGATTTCTACCAACAGAAGAATGTTAATGATCATAAGATAGTATCCAGAAGTAAAGTTTGGAAAAAAAATCCTGGTTATCTGTGTTTTACTTACATGTATAAATGGACTATTTTTCTCTCAGTTAACATTACATTCATTCTGTGGTTAAAGTTTTTGAAATTTAAATTACTTTCTTAAAATATCCCGGTTTTCTACCAAACTTGGATAGAAGCTTGTTTATGATCACACAATAGTATCCAGAAGTAAATTTTGTAGAATAAATCGTATTTTATTTATAAATGGAGTTTTTCTGCCAGCTAACATTATTTTCACTCTGTGGTTAAAAGTTTTAAATTTTTTAAAAACTTTCTTAAACTATCCTGGATTTGTACCAGTGGCACGCGCGGATTACAAACTTTATATTTATGAGTTATATACTCATATCTTCTTTTATCCATGTTCTTTGTGGTCTTAAAACATCGTTTTAGTGTCCTTAGTGCAAACACGTTAGTCTTAGTGCACTAAGAAGTCCTATGCGGTATTTCTGCACACCGTTTTGATATTTAATTAATAACTGGATTCCCTCCTCCTAGCTATTTACGGGCTAGTTTCTGAGTGCTTAATGCATGTATGTGATCTTATTCACCATTCAAAATGATTGTGCACGAGTCATCTCTAAACAGCCTTGCAAAGCATGATTTAACAGCGCGCATTATGTTTCCATTTAATTTCTCCTTTTTCTATAATAAGTTCAAATGTTGCTTTATTAAATGCACATAGGTACGTATTTGTAAACTTATGTTATTACTTTATTTCATGTATCTTTTGTGTCTTCTTTTTCGGCTTCAATTACTTATTTTTTTTCTAATTGACTTATTCGTAAATCGAAAAACGCAGAAACCTAAATAGAATCATATGGCATTGAATGATTTCTCCAACTCAAAACTAGTTATAGATGCCTCTTAAATTTTATTTTTCTCGTTGGGTTGCTTGTCCATTAATTGACGTTTACGCAGTATTCTTTTTTTCGGTATTTGTAAAAAGCCGCTCATCGATCAATTTCACAAGAAATATAATACTCGTAATTCATGTACATTGAAGTTTAACTTGCTATCAATTTTTCGTATACGCACACAGATAAAATAAATGAAACACTTTTAAGCTGTTTAAATCATGCAGTGAATTTTGAAAATATGGTTTTGAAAAACCGATTATTTCTGTTTAATACTTTTCTGTCCCTTTTCTTAATAATTAGGACACGTGCCACTGGTTAATATAGAACTAGTCAACCATGAATAATCCCAAACAACAAATTTTTTGATTGGTTTGTCATACTTGCTTATCAATTTTGCATTGTTTTCGGCTGAGACTACTATAACAGTTTTTTTTATATAGATTAGACCGTTAGTTTTCCCGTTTGAATGGTTTTACACTAGTAATTTTTGGACCCTTTATATAGCTTACTGTTCGGTGTGAGCCAAGGCTCCGTGTTGAAGACCGTACTTTGACCTATAATGGTTTACTTTTTTAAATTTTGACTTGGATGGAGAGTTGTCTCATTGGCACTCATACCACATCTTCTTATATCTATAGTAGTCTCAGTTTTTGGCAATATTGTAACAATATCCTTTAGAATTTTAAATTGCTTGAGTCATTTAATATATAATTTATTTTTGTTGTTGTTCACGAATTATATTTTTAGATTGATAATATAATTGCATCATTTTTTAAGCATTATAGAAGTCACAGTAAACATTAAACTTATGCATGGCGGAAAAGAAATATACGAAAACGATAGGTGCAATGTTCATGCAGCCTTGCAAATAATATTTAAAAAAAAAAAAAAAACATTTAATTAAACTTAAGACTTTAATTTAAGTATTTTTGATGGGATGTTGAGGTTTCCAGAACATAGAAAATACACAAGAAAATCTATAAATACACTAGTCTATCAAAATGTGCTTGCTGTCCATTTTACAATATATTATTTAAGAATTTAGTGTTTTCTTATTCATTCTGACATATGTGTCCCTGGATCTGAACAAGAAATTGCGAGGACGTTATGCTTATCAGTTTACCTTTAAAATGATTTTTCAAACAAAATGGCCCTAAAGCTAAATGTCATCGTCAGATGTATAATGGAAGGTGATAAACACTTAAGAATATATATCACCTGCTGGTTCTTTTTACCTGGACACAGATCTTATTACGTAACAAGTTCGAATGTAAAATTATCGAATTGGTATATTCAGTCGAATATATACGGTATCTCTGGACTGGGGTTTAAAAGATATTTTGATCTGACAATGTATGAAAATTTATTTGTGCTTCAAATCACTGATTTCAAATTATAGACCAATCTCATTATTATCAACAGTGGGAAAAGTATTTGAAAAAATTGTATTTAAAAAGTAATTTGATCACTTAATTAGTTATATTTCAAATATACAAGAAAGCGTTTTTGTTTCAAGTTCATATTCGCCTTTTTAGAATACTAATGCAGGAGTTCCACAAGGCTCTGTACTAGGTTCCGTAATATTTCTTATTGATGTATATGAGATAGCTGGTAATTTGATAAGTCTAACTCGATTGTCTGCTGATGAAACATCCCTTTCTAATTTAAGTATTATAGTCCTTACACAATAGAGGATGTCTTTAATAGTGATTTAGAACAAATTTCAGCATGGTCTAAAGATTGGCTTATTGATTTTAATCCTAACAAGACAATTACTATGCTATTCTCCTGTAATTCTTCCCCAGATGATATTAAAATAGAACTTCAAAATCAAGTAGTAGAATTGTCTCTTGTCATAAACACTTAGGGATTACTTTTGATTCCAATGGTAAATTCTATACACATATAGAAAACGTTTTAAATTGTGCAAGCACAAGATTAAATTTCTAAAAAGAATTGAAATATGTATTGACTAGAAATTATCTTAATCGTATAAACTGAACACTTATAAGATTAATTATGGAATATGCATGTGAGTTATGGGATGGCTGTACTCAACAAGATTCCGACAATCTAGAACATGACGTTTAGTTGGAAGCAGGAAGATTAGTAACTGGGTTGTCCGTGTTTGCTAGTCCGGAAGGTATATATTTTCAGTGGTGCAGGCCCACATTTGCTAGTGGACAGAAGAAAATCCAGAAAGCTCAATATGTTCTATTCTTCACATAAAGAGGGACTGCCTCTACGATTTAATGCCACTTTTTCAGTTATAAATAGATATAACCAGAAAATTCTTTTTTTTTCATCTACTACTATCGAATAAAATAGCCTTAACCCCGACATATGTACGTCCAGAAATATGATTATATTTATCTAACTTGATACAGACACAATTACACTCCAATCTTTATTATTAAGGACAGTTGATTGGATAAAAGTGATGGATTGCCACGCCTATATTAAAACTGAGGTCCTATAAACTGACTTCAGATAGCTCCCAGTATTCGAATTTGATAAAAAATGGTTGTGGTGATGGTGGGGGGGGGGGGGGGGGGGGGGGGGGGGGTCAGATCGTCGTTTCTAAAGTTCTATATCTTTTATTTTTTTTACCATTTCAGTTTTCTTTATTCTTCTGCCAATTAATCTGTATAATAATTGTCCTAAGCATACATGTAATTTTTGCCACTGGACGTTAAGCAACAAACAATCACCTCTTTATTCTGTTATCTATATTTATTTATATCTATTGGTCCCATGAGTACATGTATCTGTTCTTTAAACCCCATCAGAGACATATATTATATATCTCTGACCCCATTCATATCCTCATAAATGATAACCTTTTCCTAGCCTCATACATATACGTACATTGTAACTGAAACAGGAAAAATATACAGTCATATTACTGTATGCTGGAACTAATAGATAAACGTATTAGTTCCAGATTATCTTCTAAAATGCAATTGCGTTTTAATTAGAAACAATGACAACCAAATTCTTTTTTTGTGGAAAGAGGGGGGGACAGTTTTTTTTTAAACAAATTATTGGTTTCCTTTGAAAATAGGAGTGAAAAGAAAATACGACATTTAGTTTATAAAAATGATAATGTGAGAATTTTTTTATGAAGACATATCCCATACATCGATACTTATATTCTTGGCACTAAATATTTATTTGTACATATTTATTTAAAACACATATTTTGGTTAGTAATTTCTTTCCTGGTCAGGGGATGATATTGTATTAAAAACCAATAAAAATATTCGTACTTTTCCAATCAACATGTACATCAAATCAAGGAGGTTATATGAGATCTCATATAACCTCCTTGATCAAATCTTTTAAAATGAGACATTACACACACGTGTTAAAATTTACAGACCCACCGATAACTTGTCATAATCACGCATGTTGAAGCTGGGGTTAATTAACGGCTAGTTAAGAAGTCAAATCTAGCTGTGATTAATTTCCACTCTAGATAAGCAGATTCAGTAGCAATATAATCATGTTAGAAAATGTATTGGTGACCTGGACTGGGGGCACGTGCCCCCTGTGCCCCCGGTAAATCCGCCACACTGCCCATTTTTTTTTTAAGTTATTCAACATGAAGAAATACAAAAAAAATCAGCTGGTTTTGAAATTTTTTAAGAGTTGCAAATATTTAACAAATTAAAATTATGATACAGAATGATTCTTTTTATTTGTTTTCCTCACGAGTGTTTGCTGAAGCATTTTTTCCCGAATCCCGAAAAGTTTGATCATATATTCCAGAGTTTAATAGGGAAGTTCGCCGTGACGTCACGGATTGATCACGTGACTTACTGGTGGGCACATAAAATGGATGATTGAAAATCGCAAGTCAATCGATGTTTACCGTTAATTAGCCATGGTAGCTTCATGTTGTGTTATCGGGTGTACAAACAGATTTGACAAGGACAATCCCAAAAGTTTTTACCGCATTCCAAAGAAGCCAGAGTCGCGCAAAAAGCTCTGGATTTCAGCAATCAGACGAGATCAGTGGGAACCAAGGGAAAATGACCGTGTTTGTTTTCGACATTTCATATCTGGTAAGTCAATATTTTAACTACAAATTCATATTTTTTCTAATATTTGTTGTCTTTCGAAAGTATGTTTCTACTTATCAAAGCATGTCAACCGGAGTTTATCCTTTTAAACACACATAAATGAAAAAGGGGGGTGGTCATTGGATCATATTTCTGTAACTTAGTGTAAGATAATCAGACAAGGTCAAGGAAGTTTTTTAAATATATTTTCAAAATTATATATATTATTCTCAGCTATTTCCGTACTTAACCTTGGTATTTTTTAACTTTGTGTCTTCCTGTAATTGTTTTTTTTTCTTCAATCAAATGATGACATGCAATGTACATCATACAAGTACCCCATACATGTAGCCTAGGATACATATATGTGATACTTATCTATGACTGTGTCGGTCATATAGTGAAGTCATGTTCTTCGGTCAACCAGTTGTACAACTTTCAAATGTTTTTAAAATAGCAAAACAACCTTGGTGTAAATTGAATTATAAATCATATGTAAATTTCAGGTGTGAAGAGTAATGACGAGAACAACCCAGACTATGTGCCATCAGTTGACATGGGGTATCAAAAGTACAAAGCAAGTGGTGACCAGCGATACGCCCGGTTTCAAAGAGTGGAACAAAGACAAGCAGACAAAGAGAAAGTCCAAGTGGCTTCAGTATTGCTTGACCTTAGTAATGCAGAGAATATCCCAGAACCTGAATCAGGTATTAAATATGCACAAATCATTAGTGTAATAATATATATAAAAAGAAGATGTGGTATGATTGTCAAGGAGATAACTTACTTATATTGACCCTTTTTATTTCCTAGAATGAACATGTAAATTTTTGAATACTGTTGCTAATTTGTTCAGTAGTTTATTTTACTTATTGAGAATTAAGAGAATATTAAACACATTGGTTCTTCAATGAATTATACATTTCAATTATCTATTACTCATATTGTACTTAACAAAACAAGTCCTAATTAGTGAGATATAGAACACTTAATTTCAGTGGAGTGTTTGAATAGCAGTTTCTTTTAAATTTAAATCAGAAATAATTGAACATGTAATTAATCTTTGAAAACAATAATTAATTAGTCTTATCACTTTAATCAAGGAGAGGTCAAGGTTAACTTTAGCTATAGATGATACATGTATCTACAAACAAAACAATTCATTAACAATGTTGTAAATACACATTAAGCATCTCATCATGATTCAAAGATTTCATCAATATCTGAAGTGACAGCAGGATCTTTTTTCTTTAATAAAATGATGTAAAGAAATGTAATGGCAATGGATGCTTAAACATTTTACTAAGTTTTATTTATTGAAGGCTGTTTAACAGCTATTGTATAATATAAAAACATTTTTTTTCACATTAATAAATTTTCTCATTATTTTCAGTGCAGTCAGACAACAACCAACACGATGCTTGCATCAACAAGATTGCCACATTGAGAATTGAAAATGAACAACTGTATGCTGAATTAGGTCGCCTTCAAACAGAAAACACCACCTTAAAGGCAAACATCAGTCAGCTAAATTTTGAAAACCTTGTTACTGCCAGTGATCGTAAAATACAGTTTTACACCGGTGTACATTCTAAAGCTCTATTTATGTGGTTGTTGTCATTTTGTTCCTGTATATTGCCATCATGTAAAGTAATGTCACCAACGAGTGTTCTGCTATGCCTATTAATGAAGTTGAGACTCAACCTTCAACATGAAGATCTTGCCTATCGCTTCGGTGTCTCCAAAACAACAATATCAGACATTCTCAACCTAGGACTTCCAAAATTAGCCAGCAAACTGTCCTTTCTGATTCAATGGCCTGATAAGGAATATCTATTAAGTAATATGCCATCTGTTTTTAAACAATCTTACCGAAGGTGCTCCAGTATCATAGACTGTTTTGAAGTTTTCATTCAGCGACCAGGCCAATTAACTGCTAGAGCTCAGACCTGGTCCAACTACAAGCACAACAACACCATTAAATTTTTAGTGTCAATAACACCAACAGGAGCTATTTCATTTGTATCAAAGGCATTTGGTGGTAGGACATCCGACAAGGTTATTACGCAACGCAGTGGTTATTTGGACAAAATTCAGCATGGAGATCAGGTGTTGGCTGATCGTGGGTTTTTGATATCAGAAGAACTTGCCAACAAAAGTGCAACACTAGTTATACCAGCATTCACAAGAGGAAAAAAACAACTAAGTGCCAAAGAAGTAGAACAGACCCGTAAAATAGCGCATGTCAGAATCCATGTTGAGAGAGCAATCCAGAGATTAAAAAACTTTAACATTCTTAGTTCAAACATGAGTATGTGTATGGTTCCTCATTCCGATAGCATTGTTACCATTTGTTCAGCAATTTGTAATCTCCAACCAAAACTTGTGTCTTAAAAAACTCTTTTAAAGACTTGTGTATATAGTTATTTGATAATAGAAAGTTTCTTATTTCAAATTCAACAGTCTGTAATGAATATAAAAATGTGTTTCAAAATAATTTATTTCACACAATGATGTATTACAAAATAATTTATGTCATACAATGTACAAGTCTATGGTTTTCAAACATGAGCAGAATAATTTTCATTAATGATGCATTAACAAGGACTTCTGTTTATTCCACATGAACGAAAAAGCCAGTTACAAAATATATATATGAAAATGTACATGTATATTAACAGATAAAATAATATATACAACTATTCTTTTTAAATTCAAAAAGTTTGAGCAAAATTGTTTCCAAATTTTCTTTATTATAGATAAATATCTTGTTAAGTTTTCATTTTTCAATCAGTCTTACATTTATTAGTGTGCATTCCAGCTATTGATAATGCAATTTTTAATTGTAACATGTACATGTATGTCTATTTTTATCAATACATATATATATATTGCATAAATACAAGATGTTGATTGAAAATGTTTTGCAATGTCTATGTATTAATAAAGTAATTCAACTGGTATTGTTTGAATGTCTATATTTCACAGCTAGCACAAAACCACCTTCCTCTTGGTTTACGTCGAATGTTTACACATTTGTAGTGGAACCATTCATAAGGACATTGGTCACCATCACACCTTATCATTCGACCATACTCTGGTTCGGAACAAATACACCATGATTTCTCATTAGCATTGTTGTTGTTGTCGACCCTGTCATCGTTGTTTGTTGTTGGCTCATTTTCAAGTTCTCTGGTGAGAAGTTCACGTATAACAAATGATTTAAAAAAGTTCTCACACTTGTGTATCAACTTGTGGCAGAAGTCTAGATCAATTGGGACTCGCACTATTACCATGCTTGCTTCAGGCTGACATTTGGTATATACAACAAAGTCACAATACTGGCAGTTGGTGATGAACATCTGCATCTGGACTTGCGTAAAATATCTGTGGCTGGTCTTAAGGGTTAAATTTGCGTCGAGACAGAAGTTTTTGTCACTTTTTGCAGCTTGTGGTACAGTTACATCTTTGTGTTTAAAAGGACATTTTACCTCTATTGTACCTCTGCCACAGCACTTACAGTTCACAATGCCATCAGGGCTGACTCCTAGGAATGGGTGACTTGTGTTTATAAAGAAACCACACGGAGAACATGTTAGGTCTAGGTGGTGGTTCTGTTGGTGATTTGTGTATGCCTGTCTACATTCATCTTCATGGTCTACGCCCCATTTGACTGACTGTTTTTTTGAAAGGTCATATGTGGAATAACCGGCTATCCTTTTGACAAGGTTGGCTGCAGGAGTTGTTGCTTTACGAACTAGCACATCATGAGCTTTGGATGCTGTGATTCTACCCATTCTATGTTGATACCATAAGGAACTGATGGCTTGATTTCTAGTTGCTACCTCTAAATTTTCTGCCTGGTATTGTGAAACAGTATATGAATCTATGGTTTTATCACAAAAGTCATTTATGTCATTGTTATCGGTCTGTTGAAGTGTTGACAGCAGTGGAGGGTACTTGTTTTCAGTTGTTTTTGAGGCAGGTGGATTATCTATACTTGGTGTCATAACGGAGGTAAAAAAGGCAGCATTAGGTGCAATAGCATACAGTTCCTTTAGGACTTCCTGGGGAGGGAGAGGTGCTGCCCCGTTGGCTTGGACACTTGCGATATCTTTTGTACGTCTACCCTTTATATGCTGGAAAATGTCAGTGACAGTAGTTGGAGTAACCTGACAATAAAAATAAATCAATTAGTTAAACTGGTGTTGAAAATTAATCATACATTGAATATACTACATATCTATACACATTTAAATAGTAACATACAAAATTAATTATTTTGCTTACATGTCATCTAAATCTGTGGTTAGCAGGTGTGATTAGCAATTCTTTTGTATTTTGTCAATCTCCTCAACATAAACATTTCTAATTACAGACATAGTGAATATTTTTTTTAGCTAATATAAAATATCGATTTGTCTCCTACTTTACATATATCTTTGATTTTTTTTTTATTATCCTTTTAATATACTGATAAATTTGCAGACAGGATAACACTAAATGCACTTTTTATTCCTGAGTCATATTGTAAAACTTTATACCTGAATAAAAGTGTAAAAATATACCTCTTTTCTAAATCTGTTATTCCACTGACAAGCTTTACTGGTTGAACTCGTTTGTGTGATTCCAATTTTAACAGCCATCTCCACCTTGAACAGTAGTGCCCCAACATGACTGCATACTTCCCCTAACCTGTAAATGAAGGAATTTTTGTTATATGACATTTTGAAAAATGTATCTGTGCTAATGAAACCAAATGTAATACATCAATTGAATTGTTTCATATTTTTCATGTCAGGGCCTTTTATAGCCGACCATGCGATAAGGGTTTGTCTCATTGTTGAAGCCTGTATGGTTGGCTATATCTGCTTACATCCAATTCAATTGAACTCTGCTGGATAGAATTGTCTCATTGGCAATTGTACCACATCTCCTTATATTTCATATCAATATATAAAACACATTACATATATTTATATAAGAACAATAGAACTCTGGGTCACAATCGAGTCATTGAACAGTATACATACCCTGCCATACAGGTACAGTGAGCACAGTATACTGTCCCACTGCTCTTTTCCAAATACACCCATGGTTCATGTGGTTTATCTCTAGCTCTCTGTGACGGTGTGACCTTTGCCTTGAGGACCATGAATGGACAGTCGTTGTCCACTGGGTGAGAAAACACGACTTGTACATGTCCACTGACGACGTAACTGAAAAAGAGAAAAATCAGTATAAGGAACATAAAGCAAAAAGAACATTTAGTTATCATGGTTATGGACATAGATATAAGAAGATGTGGTATGAGTGCCAATGAGACAACTCTCCATCCAAGTAAAAATTTATAAAAGTAAACCATTATAATGCATGTATGATACTTATAAATGTATATGTATAAAATTATTCAAAATATCTTCAGGTGACAAAGTGACTAAGCCTTCAGTACAATGACTATGCTGTATACATAAACCTTTTTAAACCATCTTTTAATTTTTTTTTAAATTTTATAGATATTTTTTAAATGTTTTATTTTTATGTATTCTAGTTCAAATATATCAAAATAAGTCAAACACTACAATTATAGATAAATCACTATCAAATTAAATTATCAATCAATATAGAAATGTAAAATGCAAGGTAAATTTAGTGTATCAAAAATAAAGGGTATTATGTGCATTTATTTAATGACACTACATATGATAATATGCACAGGGACATAAGTTCAAAATAGATGACACAGTTGTAAATACAGTGAATGACATTGTCACAGCAGGAATATACGTTTACCTGTGATCTGGTAAGATGACCAAATATGGCATTAACCACGTGACATAAACAACCCGATTACCTGAGAAGGTGAGATTACAAAAAAAAAATTTTCAAGCTCTTTCTTCATGTAAAACTTGTTTTAAAATCGAAATAATAATTCAAATACATATTTTAACACTTACTTGTATGCATCTAACGATTTGTATGCTTTCATTGACTCCTTGGTGTAGATGGAAGGCGTGTCAATCAGGTAAAGGTAAATATCACCAAAGGTCAGGTCGGGCCAGGTGCTAGGGTCAGAACTCCATTTTTCAGCAATTGCGTACGGATCTGGCAAACTTTTAGTTCCCGTGTTGTACAATAACTTTGTGGAATATCTCTGCTTTGCTTCAACTGACAGGGAATTTGCATATGTTGATAAATTGTTGAGAGAACTCGATGAAGTGTTTGTTTTATCGGCCATTATTTTTATGAATGGGTCTTGCCCACCAATTTTATACGCATGCGCAATGTGACGTCACTTTCGATTCGGACGAACTTCCCTATAAGGGAAGTTCGCCGTGACGTCACGGATTGATCACGTGACTTACTGGTGGGCACATAAAATGGATGATTGAAAATCGCAAGTCAATCGATGTTTACCGTTAATTAGCCATGGTAGCTTCATGTTGTGTTATCGGGTGTACAAACAGATTTGACAAGGACAATCCCAAAAGTTTTTACCGCATTCCAAAGAAGCCAGAGTCGCGCAAAAAGCTCTGGATTTCAGCAATCAGACGAGATCAGTGGGAACCAAGGGAAAATGACCGTGTTTGTTTTCGACATTTCATATCTGGTAAGTCAATATTTTAACTACAAATTCATATTTTTTCTAATATTTGTTGTCTTTCGAAAGTATGTTTCTACTTATCAAAGCATGTCAACCGGAGTTTATCCTTTTAAACACACATAAATGAAAAAGGGGGGTGGTCATTGGATCATATTTCTGTAACTTAGTGTAAGATAATCAGACAAGGTCAAGGAAGTTTTTTAAATATATTTTCAGGATTATATATATTATTCTCAGCTATTTCCGTACTTAACCTTGGTATTTTTTAACTTTGTGTCTTCCTGTAATTGTTTTTTTTTCTTCAATCAAATGATGACATGCAATGTACATCATACAAGTACCCCATACATGTAGCCTAGGATACATATATGTGATACTTATCTATGACTGTGTCGGTCATATAGTGAAGTCATGTTCTTCGGTCAACCAGTTGTACAACTTTCAAATGTTTTTAAAATAGCAAAACAACCTTGGTGTAAATTGAATTATAAATCATATGTAAATTTCAGGTGTGAAGAGTAATGACGAGAACAACCCAGACTATGTGCCATCAGTTGACATGGGGTATCAAAAGTACAAAGCAAGTGGTGACCAGCGATACGCCCGGTTTCAAAGAGTGGAACAAAGACAAGCAGACAAAGAGAAAGTCCAAGTGGCTTCAGTATTGCTTGACCTTAGTAATGCAGAGAATATCCCAGAACCTGAATCAGGTATTAAATATGCACAAATCATTAGTGTAATAATATATATAAAAAGAAGATGTGGTATGATTGTCAAGGAGATAACTTACTTATATTGACCCTTTTTATTTCCTAGAATGAACATGTAAATTTTTGAATACTGTTGCTAATTTGTTCAGTAGTTTATTTTACTTATTGAGAATTAAGAGAATATTAAACACATTGGTTCTTCAATGAATTATACATTTCAATTATCTATTACTCATATTGTACTTAACAAAACAAGTCCTAATTAGTGAGATATAGAACACTTAATTTCAGTGGAGTGTTTGAATAGCAGTTTCTTTTAAATTTAAATCAGAAATAATTGAACATGTAATTAATCTTTGAAAACAATAATTAATTAGTCTTATCACTTTAATCAAGGAGAGGTCAAGGTTAACTTTAGCTATAGATGATACATGTATCTACAAACAAAACAATTCATTAACAATGTTGTAAATACACATTAAGCATCTCATCATGATTCAAAGATTTCATCAATATCTGAAGTGACAGCAGGATCTTTTTTCTTTAATAAAATGATGTAAAGAAATGTAATGGCAATGGATGCTTAAACATTTTACTAAGTTTTATTTATTGAAGGCTGTTTAACAGCTATTGTATAATATAAAAACATTTTTTTTCACATTAATAAATTTTCTCATTATTTTCAGTGCAGTCAGACAACAACCAACACGATGCTTGCATCAACAAGATTGCCACATTGAGAATTGAAAATGAACAACTGTATGCTGAATTAGGTCGCCTTCAAACAGAAAACACCACCTTAAAGGCAAACATCAGTCAGCTAAATTTTGAAAACCTTGTTACTGCCAGTGATCGTAAAATACAGTTTTACACCGGTGTACATTCTAAAGCTCTATTTATGTGGTTGTTGTCATTTTGTTCCTGTATATTGCCATCATGTAAAGTAATGTCACCAACGAGTGTTCTGCTATGCCTATTAATGAAGTTGAGACTCAACCTTCAACATGAAGATCTTGCCTATCGCTTCGGTGTCTCCAAAACAACAATATCAGACATTCTCAACCTAGGACTTCCAAAATTAGCCAGCAAACTGTCCTTTCTGATTCAATGGCCTGATAAGGAATATCTATTAAGTAATATGCCATCTGTTTTTAAACAATCTTACCGAAGGTGCTCCAGTATCATAGACTGTTTTGAAGTTTTCATTCAGCGACCAGGCCAATTAACTGCTAGAGCTCAGACCTGGTCCAACTACAAGCACAACAACACCATTAAATTTTTAGTGTCAATAACACCAACAGGAGCTATTTCATTTGTATCAAAGGCATTTGGTGGTAGGACATCCGACAAGGTTATTACGCAACGCAGTGGTTATTTGGACAAAATTCAGCATGGAGATCAGGTGTTGGCTGATCGTGGGTTTTTGATATCAGAAGAACTTGCCAACAAAAGTGCAACACTAGTTATACCAGCATTCACAAGAGGAAAAAAACAACTAAGTGCCAAAGAAGTAGAACAGACCCGTAAAATAGCGCATGTCAGAATCCATGTTGAGAGAGCAATCCAGAGATTAAAAAACTTTAACATTCTTAGTTCAAACATGAGTATGTGTATGGTTCCTCATTCCGATAGCATTGTTACCATTTGTTCAGCAATTTGTAATCCCCACCAAAACTTGTGTCTTAAAAAACTCTTTTAAAGACTTGTGTATATAGTTATTTGATAATAGAAAGTTTCTTATTTCAAATTCAACAGTCTGTAATGAATATAAAAATGTGTTTCAAAATAATTTATTTCACACAATGATGTATTACAAAATAATTTATGTCATACAATGTACAAGTCTATGGTTTTCAAACATGAGCAGAATAATTTTCATTAATGATGCATTAACAAGGACTTCTGTTTATTCCACATGAACGAAAAAGCCAGTTACAAAATATATATATGAAAATGTACATGTATATTAACAGATAAAATAATATATACAACTATTCTTTTTAAATTCAAAAAGTTTGAGCAAAATTGTTTCCAAATTTTCTTTATTATAGATAAATATCTTGTTAAGTTTTCATTTTTCAATCAGTCTTACATTTATTAGTGTGCATTCCAGCTATTGATAATGCAATTTTTAATTGTAACATGTACATGTATGTCTATTTTTATCAATACATATATATATATTGCATAAATACAAGATGTTGATTGAAAATGTTTTGCAATGTCTATGTATTAATAAAGTAATTCAACTGGTATTGTTTGAATGTCTATATTTCACAGCTAGCACAAAACCACCTTCCTCTTGGTTTACGTCGAATGTTTACACATTTGTAGTGGAACCATTCATAAGGACATTGGTCACCATCACACCTTATCATTCGACCATACTCTGGTTCGGAACAAATACACCATGATTTCTCATTAGCATTGTTGTTGTTGTCGACCCTGTCATCGTTGTTTGTTGTTGGCTCATTTTCAAGTTCTCTGGTGAGAAGTTCACGTATAACAAATGATTTAAAAAAGTTCTCACACTTGTGTATCAACTTGTGGCAGAAGTCTAGATCAATTGGGACTCGCACTATTACCATGCTTGCTTCAGGCTGACATTTGGTATATACAACAAAGTCACAATACTGGCAGTTGGTGATGAACATCTGCATCTGGACTTGCGTAAAATATCTGTGGCTGGTCTTAAGGGTTAAATTTGCGTCGAGACAGAAGTTTTTGTCACTTTTTGCAGCTTGTGGTACAGTTACATCTTTGTGTTTAAAAGGACATTTTACCTCTATTGTACCTCTGCCACAGCACTTACAGTTCACAATGCCATCAGGGCTGACTCCTAGGAATGGGTGACTTGTGTTTATAAAGAAACCACACGGAGAACATGTTAGGTCTAGGTGGTGGTTCTGTTGGTGATTTGTGTATGCCTGTCTACATTCATCTTCATGGTCTACGCCCCATTTGACTGACTGTTTTTTTGAAAGGTCATATGTGGAATAACCGGCTATCCTTTTGACAAGGTTGGCTGCAGGAGTTGTTGCTTTACGAACTAGCACATCATGAGCTTTGGATGCTGTGATTCTACCCATTCTATGTTGATACCATAAGGAACTGATGGCTTGATTTCTAGTTGCTACCTCTAAATTTTCTGCCTGGTATTGTGAAACAGTATATGAATCTATGGTTTTATCACAAAAGTCATTTATGTCATTGTTATCGGTCTGTTGAAGTGTTGACAGCAGTGGAGGGTACTTGCTTTCAGTTGTTTTTGAGGCAGGTGGATTATCTATACTTGGTGTCATAACGGAGGTAAAAAAGGCAGCATTAGGTGCAATAGCATACAGTTCCTTTAGGACTTCCTGGGGAGGGAGAGGTGCTGCCCCGTTGGCTTGGACACTTGCGATATCTTTTGTACGTCTACCCTTTATATGCTGGAAAATGTCAGTGACAGTAGTTGGAGTAACCTGACAATAAAAATAAATCAATTAGTTAAACTGGTGTTGAAAATTAATCATACATTGAATATACTACATATCTATACACATTTAAATAGTAACATACAAAATTAATTATTTTGCTTACATGTCATCTAAATCTGTGGTTAGCAGGTGTGATTAGCAATTCTTTTGTATTTTGTCAATCTCCTCAACATAAACATTTCTAATTACAGACATAGTGAATATTTTTTTTAGCTAATATAAAATATCGATTTGTCTCCTACTTTACATATATCTTTGATTTTTTTTTTATTATCCTTTTAATATACTGATAAATTTGCAGACAGGATAACACTAAATGCACTTTTTATTCCTGAGTCATATTGTAAAACTTTATACCTGAATAAAAGTGTAAAAATATACCTCTTTTCTAAATCTGTTATTCCACTGACAAGCTTTACTGGTTGAACTCGTTTGTGTGATTCCAATTTTAACAGCCATCTCCACCTTGAACAGTAGTGCCCCAACATGACTGCATACTTCCCCTAACCTGTAAATGAAGGAATTTTTGTTATATGACATTTTGAAAAATGTATCTGTGCTAATGAAACCAAATGTAATACATCAATTGAATTGTTTCATATTTTTCATGTCAGGGCCTTTTATAGCCGACCATGCGATAAGGGTTTGTCTCATTGTTGAAGCCTGTATGGTTGGCTATATCTGCTTACATCCAATTCAATTGAACTCTGCTGGATAGAATTGTCTCATTGGCAATTGTACCACATCTCCTTATATTTCATATCAATATATAAAACACATTACATATATTTATATAAGAACAATAGAACTCTGGGTCACAATCGAGTCATTGAACAGTATACATACCCTGCCATACAGGTACAGTGAGCACAGTATACTGTCCCACTGCTCTTTTCCAAATACACCCATGGTTCATGTGGTTTATCTCTAGCTCTCTGTGACGGTGTGACCTTTGCCTTGAGGACCATGAATGGACAGTCGTTGTCCACTGGGTGAGAAAACACGACTTGTACATGTCCACTGACGACGTAACTGAAAAAGAGAAAAATCAGTATAAGGAACATAAAGCAAAAAGAACATTTAGTTATCATGGTTATGGACATAGATATAAGAAGATGTGGTATGAGTGCCAATGAGACAACTCTCCATCCAAGTAAAAATTTATAAAAGTAAACCATTATAATGCATGTATGATACTTATAAATGTATATGTATAAAATTATTCAAAATATCTTCAGGTGACAAAGTGACTAAGCCTTCAGTACAATGACTATGCTGTATACATAAACCTTTTTAAACCATCTTTTAATTTTTTTTTAAATTTTATAGATATTTTTTAAATGTTTTATTTTTATGTATTCTAGTTCAAATATATCAAAATAAGTCAAACACTACAATTATAGATAAATCACTATCAAATTAAATTATCAATCAATATAGAAATGTAAAATGCAAGGTAAATTTAGTGTATCAAAAATAAAGGGTATTATGTGCATTTATTTAATGACACTACATATGATAATATGCACAGGGACATAAGTTCAAAATAGATGACACAGTTGTAAATACAGTGAATGACATTGTCACAGCAGGAATATACGTTTACCTGTGATCTGGTAAGATGACCAAATATGGCATTAACCACGTGACATAAACAACCCGATTACCTGAGAAGGTGAGATTACAAAAAAATAATTTTCAAGCTCTTTCTTCATGTAAAACTTGTTTTAAAATCGAAATAATAATTCAAATACATATTTTAACACTTACTTGTATGCATCTAACGATTTGTATGCTTTCATTGACTCCTTGGTGTAGATGGAAGGCGTGTCAATCAGGTAAAGGTAAATATCACCAAAGGTCAGGTCGGGCCAGGTGCTAGGGTCAGAACTCCATTTTTCAGCAATTGCGTACGGATCTGGCAAACTTTTAGTTCCCGTGTTGTACAATAACTTTGTGGAATATCTCTGCTTTGCTTCAACTGACAGGGAATTTGCATATGTTGATAAATTGTTGAGAGAACTCGATGAAGTGTTTGTTTTATCGGCCATTATTTTTATGAATGGGTCTTGCCCACCAATTTTATACGCATGCGCAATGTGACGTCACTTTCGATTCGGACGAACTTCCCTATACGTGTAAAAACCGAATTCACACACATAATAAAGTCCCAACCCGACGTTCATAAAAGGTCTGTTCTAGAGTTTAGTTTAATTTTCAGAAATTAAAATCAAACACAATGTTTTATACAAATTCGTCTTCAGACACGTAAATAATATAGGTTATTAGCTTGCCTGGATTGTGATAGAAAATATCCAATGAAATGCATAAAATATCTAATGCTATGGGTCACGCATGGACTGTCTTACTTTATCATGTTTATAGGGATGCCCATGTGGCACATCAAAGATAAGATTGATTTACCCATTGTACTTTAGAATTGCAACAAATCTTAAATTCACTTGAATACATTAATATATTGACCTGTTATCTTGTCGACTTTAAAGCCAACATACAGATGGCCGTTATATCCTGAGAAGAGACCTCGATGAAATTTGAAAGTTTTACAAATCTTAGTTTTCACGGGAACGAATATTTTGTAAAAACGTTGTAGTGATCAGATTATCAATGACGCGTAATACCGATGAAAAATGTTGTCCTGCATTTTTTCTTTAAATGTAAACTTATTGTAAATATAGCCCTGCTTTTTTATTTTACACTCTATTCGGTATGGAAGCGCATATGGTACACCCCTTGTAAAGTTATTTTGTTGCAAATAAGTCGGAATTATTAGTTAAGTTGTGTGTTATAAGCTGGAATCAAATCATCATGTGGAATCAACTTGTCGGAATGATGAAGAAAAAATTGCATTACAATGTCGACTTGCTAATATAAATGTAATGACATAGTAATACGAAGTCGACATGTTGAATTCAACTTGTTAATTGATTAAGTCGACAACTTGTTTATTTGATGATGAGGTAAAACCACGTGACCATTTTGGAAAAACATTATTCTATTTTTAAATCGATTTCCATATGTCGTTTGTTTAATGTGCCTCGGATGAGTGTCGCTATCCATTGTGTTCAAGTTCAAATTAAAGGTCGAGTTGTTGCTCAGAGTTATTTGGTATGAAAAGGGGAAACGGCAGTCAAATATCAGAAAAAAAGTACTAAGAAATAACAATATTTCGGACATAAGGGGGATATCCTCACACCACTTGGTCCGGCGTTTATTTTCCTTAGTTCTCAAACGGAAGAAGTATTATAATAAATTCTTTAAGGTTTCCAGGGCACCCTCTGTTTTGCATGACATTGCTGCTGTCAGTGTAAAATTGTAATGTTGACTGTAAATATTTTATTTTTCAGTAACATACAAACTTTAAATAATTCATGGAAATTTACAAATTTATCAGGACAAAACATTGTTATTAACTGCAAAAAACTGAAAGCTTATATAAAAAGAAGATGTGGTATGATGGCCAATAAAACATCTCTCCATCACATACCAAATCACGGAGAACTATATGTCACTGGTATGGTCTTCAACAATGAGCAAAATCCTTACCGCATAGTAAGCTATGAAAGATCCCGAAATGACAAATGTAAAAAAAAACTAGAAACAGAACGATCTAAATGACGAAGACGCCGACGCCATTACCGACGACGGAATAAAGGTTTGCTGTGTCTCAATTCCGCGACATTAATGTCGCAGGTACTACACACATCAAATGACTTGTACTTTGTTGTCAAAAAATGAAACACTTTTAATCAACTCACACTCAATTTAAAGGGAAACAACGGTTAATTTATGTTCCAATTGTCGTAACCATAATTCCGTCCTCTTTTCCTCGAGGATGACCTACCGCATTAGACAAAATAACTGGGTTTGTAATTTCACGAATAACGCGACAGGTGACTCACGTTGAGCAGGATCAGCTTTCTCTTCAGGAGCATTGAGATTTACGCCGGATTTTAATGAATTTATATTGGCCAGTAATATCGATCTATTGAGTTAGCCAGCTGCAACTGATTTGTAAAGCTTTTGTTGAGCTGTTACACGGCGGTCCAAGGTTAGGGTTAAGATTGAGCGCTCACATACATGTTTAACTCCGCCACATTCTTCATATGCATATCTCAAGTCAAGAGCCTAAATTGTCGTTGGTTCATGTGTTTCATATTTGTTTTTCGTAAATTGTTTTGTTATAAATAAGGCCGTTACATTTCTCGTTTGAATGGTTTCACATTTCAACGTGGTGGCCTTTTATAGCCGACTATACTTACGATTTGCTGAAGGCCGTACGGCTGCCTATGATTGCTTACATCTTCTTCGTTTAAACTCTGGTGGCTAGTGGTCTCATTGGCAATCACACCACATCTCCTAATTTTATTCAGTAGTGGCGTCGACGTCTTCGTCATTTAGATCGTTAGGTTTCTCGTTTGAGTTGTTTTACATGTCATTTCAGATTCTTACTATGCGGTAAAGGTTTTGCTCCTGTTCTTAATTTTATTTAGCTTGCGGATTCTTTCCCGTGCGCTTTCTGTGTGTATACCAGTAATTCACTGCGATTCTACTCATGTACTTAGATTCTAGGGAACAGGAAAATTTGGTTTATTTTGCAGTAAGTAAAACTGTTTTGTTCTGATTAATTTGTAAATCTCCATGAATTGTTATAAAACTTGTATAGGAGTTATTCTTTCAGATCAAAATAAAGCATCTACAGAAAAAAACTATTTTTTAAATTTTGTATGTTACAGAAAAATGAACTGTTTACAGTAAACATTACAATTTTACACTGACAGCAGCAATCGCATGCGAGACAGAGGGTGCCGTGGGATCCTTCGCGAATTTTTCATTTTACTTCTGTTTGAGAACTATGGAAAATAAACGCCGGACCAAGTGGTGTGGGGATATCCCCCTTATGTCCGACATATTGTTATTTGTCAGTTCTTTTTTTCTGATATTTGACTGCCGTTCCCCATTTCCATACCAAATAACTCTGAGCAACAACTCATTCATTAATTTGAACTTGAATTTATAGCGACACTCATCCAAAGCACATTAAACAAACGACATATGGAAATCGATTTAAAAATAGACCTCTGTTTTTCCAAAATGGTCACGTGGTTTTGCCTGATTATCAAATAAACAAGTTTTCGACATAAGCTATTAACAAGTTGAATTCAACATGTCGACTTCGTATTACTATGTCATTACACTTATATTAGCAAGTCGACATTGTAATGCAATTTTTTCTTCATCATTCCGACAAGTTGATTCCACATGATGATTTGATTCCAGCTTATAACACACAACTTAACTAATAATTACGACTTATTTGCAACAAAATAACTTTACAAGGGGTGTAGCATATGCGCTTCCATAATTCGGTCCTTCCTTTCTTAGTTATTAATATCTCTGACTTGTTTTACATAAAGTCATCATGCCTTTTTCTTTTTGGCAAGATGCCCATTCTGCCTTTTTTTCTCTAAACTCCTGTCATGCCCTTTTTTCAAGTTTCATACTAGCCCCCCCCCCCCCCCCTTTCAGCCCCCAGCCCCCAGCCCCCGCCCCTAAAAATAAATGGTAGCTCCCTTATTTTGAATCAGTTGTCCTCCGACAATAGAGTACAAACTAGCAGTATTGGCAGTTTGACATTTCTACGAGCTACGTGACGACTTACTTTAGATATGCTTATTGTGATATAAAGTTAAAAGGTCTTTCTTCTTACAACGAATTTGCAAACGTTAATATATTATTAAGATCAGTACACTGTGTGTGTCCATGTAGCCGTGAGATATGGGACTTACGTATTTTCACGTCAGACAAACTTCTTCGTGCATGTGGCTTCATATTCGATTAAGTAATTTCAAAAGGGATAAAAAATGTCTTAATTGATAATTTCTACATTGCATTTAAAAAATCCATTGAAAGAATATTGTATAATTATAAATCATCGCCCGCTGTTGGAAGTTCACTTTCGCCATTTTTCGTGCTTGTCATGAGACGATATTTCAGGGGTTTCGATTGTTAATAGATATAGGAAGATGTGGTATGAGTGCCAATGAGACAACTCTCTATCAATGTTTATCGTTTATAAGATGTTGTACTTTCAATGCTATTTATAAACGCAGAGTAAAATTAAAAATGTTTGGTATACAAATTTTAAATTATTCATCTTAAAAAATATTCAGAAGATAATGGGAAATATCAAAGAATCATGATATAAATTTAAAGAAAAGAAGAAAACCCAACTCATTTTTTATTAAAATTGAAAATCCAACTTACGAAAAGTCGTATTGACCTCTAAAATTCTATACACAGAAAACAAGTACTTATAGTATCTTAAAATGTCCAAATAGAGTCCGTTTAATAAACGCGTACTGGACATAATTGTTATATTTCTATTCAGACATTCCACATTTTATCAACCGTTTCTGAACTATTTTTTGAAGATTACGAATCCGTGGCTTCATTGCACATTTAACGCAAAATACATTTTGTTTTTTTTTATTAAGAAAATCAGTAAAATACACAGTTACTTGTGTGTAAAATAATTTCAATGGAAGCTTTCTGAAGGTATTTGATAGGACGTACATGTACGCCAATTCATGAGGTCGTGACAAATTGTAACCAATGTCCAATCAAGTTTTTCTGTTGTTCAAAGTTTGACGTGCGGTGATGTTTGAACAGTGTTGAGTGTATTTTACATTTGTCATTTCGGAGTCTTTAATATCTTACTATGCTGTATGGATTTTGCTCATTGTTGAAGGCCGTACAGTGACCTTTAATTTGTTATTTCTACGTTATTCAGTCTCTGGTTAAATTCTCTCATTAGACATTATACATTTATTTCCCGTGTATGAGGGAGATATAAAGATTTGTTCACCCAAGAATATTCATATTTCACGAGGGCTCTGCCCGAGGGAACTCTGATTTTTCGAGGGTGAGCAAATCTTCATATCTCCCGAAGCAAAGGGAAATGAATGTTTTATTCCACTGCCTATGGTTTGTTTACTATCAATACATTAAATATTATTTTGCATACATTTTGTTTTCTTATCCGCTTGTTTTTATAAGTTAAACAAAACACGACATACCCATTGATAAACAGTACGGATCAAAATTT